GTAGGCTTTTTACTCTGACTACTGTGAGGAGAATAAAGTATTAGAGAGGCTGGAAGCGGAAAACATACAAGGAGGCTGTCGTAAAAGTCCAGTGAAGGCATGATGGTGTTGGGACTAGAGTGCTAGGAGAGGAGGAGAAGAGAAGTAGTCAGCAGGTTATACATCGAAAGTGGAGCTTTCATAATACAGGATTTTCCCATGCTTGGCCAACTTCTCTTTCTATTCTCTCTCTGAGTGATCTCATCCATTTATAAGGTTTAAACCAGTGTTTCTCAAACTTCACAACTTACCTGCAGAGTTTTTTAAAACATAGATTCATGACTCCAACCCTAGAGATTCTGATATAGTAGGTCTGGAGTTGAGCCTAAGAATTTGCATTTCTAACAAATTCCTGAGTGATGCCAATCTGCTGGTCCACAGACCACACTTTAGGTAACCTGGTTTAAACTACTATCCATAGCCTGACGTAGTATAAATCTTTAGTTTAGGGTTGAAATCCAGGCTTATATATCTTACTGTCTTTCAGAAATCACCTCCTAGAAATGACAGTTTTTTTGAAACTCAGAGCTCAATATGTTCAAACTCGTCATTATCTCTCCCAGTATATCTCCTTCTTCTTTTGTAGTCTCTATCTCGGTTGGTGGTACCACCAAGCACCTAGTCATTCTAACAAGGAAGCCATAAGTCATCTGTGATTCCTCACTCCTCCTCACCCTCATCCTTCACATCCTATCAATCACCACATCATGCTGCTTTCACCTAAATATTTCTTGAATCTGACCACATTTGTCTATTGCTATTAGGGATGCTCTAGTGCAGGCCTAAACAATTTCCAAACTGGTTTTGTTTCCATCAAATCTATCCACACAGCTACCAGAGTAGAACAAAAAACTGATCATATCCCTCCTTTACTTTCAGTGGCTCTCCATCACACACAGAATCAAGGCCAATTTCCTTATTTACATAACATTAGAGGTCCACTGTGATCTGGACCCTCTGCCCACCCCCTCCAGGCACATTTCTCATCCCTGTGTAATATGTACTTTGCAGGCTAGCAACCTTGAGCTGCTTCCTTATAATTCCCTGCACATATCACACCATTCTAGGACTTCATGCCTTTGCTCATGCTTCCCCTTTATCTCAAATGCCCTCTCCTCCACTTCCAACCCTCCTCATATCAACTACCCACATTTAGTATCCTTCCATACTAAGTGCTGTAGTCACTTCCTCCAAGAAGCCTTCCTTGATATCCTTACTTAGTGCTTTCATAATAGCCCGTGTATATTTCTTTTCCTAAGCTCTTCCAAATTTTTAAATGTGTTTATTTCTGTCTGCCTGCATTGTATCATTAGCAACTTGAGGTCTAGGACTGTGTCTTGTTTATCTCTGTACCAGTGCACAGGTCCTAGCATATAACTGGGAATTATTATGGGTTTGTCGAATGAAGAAATGAGCTTTATCAGCACACTCCACTTGGGTGGCCTGGGTTCAGTTCCCGGGCACGGAACCAACCACACCACTCGTCTGTCAGTAGCCATGCTGTAGCGGCGACTCACACAGAAGGACTTACAACTAGAATGTACAACTATGTGCTGGAGCTTTTGGGAGGAAAAAAAAGAGAGGAAGATTGGCAACAGGTGTTAGCTCAGGATGAATCTTTCCCAGCAAAAAAAAAAAAAAAAAGAAATGAACTTTATGCCAAGGCTATAAAATTCTGCATAATGTAGTTCACTGTGTCATATATATAAAAGAATGGAAGAAAAAGAAAAGTTCGTCTCAGTGACCCCTACGGAAACATGACCGTACCCGTACTCATTCTTCCCCAAGGCAGCACTCTTACCGGAGGAAAGAGATGGAGGAAAGAGATGTAGGCATTTCTGTCTAATTTAGACGGACACATTTCTACTGAAGAATTTTACTCATATTCTTGCATGATTCAGTCAAGTATTATGCTAGGTACTCCAAGGAATGCAAGGTGTGTAGGACACAGCCCTTTCCTCAAGCATTGTATATTTTGGTGGAGAAATAAGCCTAATATTCAGAAAATAATCACTTAACAATACCAGGCAGTGTTTACTAAAGTACTGAATTATATTGTATAAACAATGCATATTCTAAGAGTTCAGAAAAAAAAATAACATACTTGTCCTGACTCAGTGGTGGAAACCTTCGAAGGAGGAGGAGGTAATATTTGAGATATATGTGGGCTGATTGTGAGCACTTAAATGAAAATGAATCTCTTCTAGTCATTCTAATATGTGCTCTGTGATAATAAGGATCAAAATGTAGTATGGAAACGATGATAATGGGGATGATTTTCTTAGCCTTGACCATTAATTGAGCGCTTATTCTGAGGTAGGAATTCTGCTAGATGCTTTATCACACGTTATTTCCAACCCTTCAAGCAATGCTGAACGTTGATATTATCCCTCTTTTACAGATGAGAAAACCAAGGCAGAGAGATGAAACCATTGGCCCAAGGACACACTGACAGGAAGAGACAGACTCAGGACATCTGCCTGAACTGCAACTCTCCCCTCCCCGCCAGCTGCTGTTTGTGCCTCGAGGACACATTTCAGAATGGACAGCTTTCATGGCAGAAAGCCTTCTCTGAGTTTACTGTCTTAACTTGTAGCCTCCAAGAAATGTATCTGTGCAAAAAGGGGAAGTCTTCTCAGTCTGCAGTCATTTGTCACTTTCCCAGGCTCATGGCAAAGGTACCGCCCCCAGGAAGTTTTGTCTAGAATTACCTTTCAGTTGTATCCTTGTAACAGCAAAGAAAAGTCGGAAAATATTTCAAAGGTTTGATCATTTTTCTGGAAATTCTTATGCATGTTTCCAAGTTCTGTTGATTTCACTTGGCATAACAGGGCTAAGGTCCTTAGAGTAAGACCATTCTTATTATCATGGTAGGCATTTTCTTACATTTGCAGAAGCATAGACATGGGGAAGGGAGCCTCGGTGCATAACATATCTTTGTCAGCAAGGGCTAGAAGGGGACCATCTCCATTTTAATCCTCTTCAAGGAGTCTCTTAATCTCAACTTTCTCATCTGATAAATACCTACGAACAATGAACTGCAACAGAAGAAAGTGAAAAATGGAAATTTCGAATAGATTCCTGCCCTGAGTATGATGCTAGAAAATATTTTAGGAGAAGGTGGCAGTGACCCTCCAGCTTACTGCATTGTTAAATCCTCAAGAAGAGGCTCTAAATTAGCAATTCTTAATCCTTTTGAGGTTGTGCACCCCTTTGAAAATTAAATGAAAGTTATGAATTCTCTCTCCTGCCCCAGTAAATGCCTACACATTGCACGCATGCATACTGATTTTACAGACACTTTATAGGGGCTTCCAAACCTTCCTATGTCTGTGCCTAAATCACTGCATTAACAAAAATTGTGAGGACATATTGATTTTAGCAGGAAAAAAATGTCTTGTTTCACTAGTGATGTCGTCTCTAGTGAGACGTTGAGAATTCGTTGGTGTCATGTAAACCATGAATCTACCATTCCCAATTTTTAAATCCTTCTTGTTCCAATTAATTTATTCTACCTATTTTATTTTTTAATCATCTGTCTCCCTTAGAACATAAGTTACACACGAGGGGAGTGATTTTGTCTGTTGACTAATGCTGTATCACCAGTGCCTAAAACAGTACCTGGAAGAAAAGAGATGCTCAACTAATGTTATTGAAAGAAGAAATATGTCCCTTCTGGAGAGCACTGAGCTACAAAATTTACTCTCTTCCATGTAAATTAATAATTCTTTTATTTATAATATTGTCAGATTCTTTGTTTCAAGAGCTGTCTTCTAGCTATATCATTTTGAAACTTATAGATTAAATCTGTATTTGGTTTTCAGTACTTTTACTAATTTTAATTATATATTGTTTTCCTTTTTATATTTTTCTAATCTCTTTTCTCCCACCAAATGACCACTAACTCCTTGATTCCTTCAGTTCCATTGTCTAAGGATAAGATATATCTGGCAGCATCAATTTATAAAATTAAGTGAACAAAATGCAGTACATTTAAATAACAACAAAATAAATGTCAGTTTCTCCAAATATATTTGCTTAATTAGTCAGCTCTAAACATTGAAACAATGTAAATACTGAATATTGAAATATTTAGTATAAATAAGCATTTATTACTGGCAGCAGCTATGGAAATGTGTAGAATAACTGTGGCTTGGGTACTTTAAAAACTGTTTGTTCCCTCAAATGGTTTAAATATGGCCTCTGCGACTTGTTCCCATTTAAATTACTTCACAAACCATTTCCTCAAATATGGTAGAAAGTCAATTTTAGCACTTGTTAAAATCACAAATTCTGAGTTAGAAGACTATGAATTAATGAAGTTTTACTTTATTTTGTAATCGGCATTCCTAGGTTTAATCAAAAGCTATGCTTTGGTTTTCTTTTTTTTTTAGTTTAAAAGAAAAATTAATGAAAACTACAACAAATAACATTTGATCGTTTGCGCTGCCATACAAAGCTACATCTTGAAATTACGACCAAGAAAACTCTAAAAACTTGTGTGAGGACAAATTTTTAAATTTAAGACCAAATATATGCAGTTAACATTTGTAATTTCTTAGCACCCTGCATTTGCTGCCAGCAAACTTTCAACATATCTGGCTGATAAAGAAGCTGGCAGAGTCCCTGAAGGAACAGAAGTTACCGATATAAAGTAAAGCCTATGCGAATTTATTGCTACCGGTTTTAGACTACTTGCCTCAGTAAGATTATGCACTGAAATGACTTGAGTTTTAGACATATCCACACAATTATTCATATCGCTCATGGCTATAGGTGCCATACCCTTGCATGAACACTCATGCATATCCATGTTCACATGGGCAATCATGCTCCCGCATGTGCAATTAATTGACAAGAATGTTGCTCAGCGTTGGCTGATCGAGATACGCAGATCAGTGCAGAGGAACAGGATTTGAGACAGCCCAGGGTTTCCTCTTCTAGTAGGTTTAAAACATTTTTTTTTTCTCACTAACTTCCTTCCTGTTCTAACTGCCTGACTACTCAGAAGTCAGAGTTGAGAGACAGAGGCACCCAAGACAGAGACGTGAACCACTGTAGGTAAGTAGAAATACCACGGGGTGAGGGAGGCTACGGGTGGGCACAGAGAATTGTAGGAAATCTCTGAACTGGGCTACAGCCCTCAAAGCTCATTTTTTTTTAGAAGGGCAGTTCCTCTTTAAAACAAACTTTATGATAAGAAAGTACTAAGCAGGCTGCTGGAGCAGTTCTGCATAGAAGGGGAAGTCAGAGCAGGGAATGGAAGCAATGAGTCAGGGGAGGGTATGCATTGCAGCCCAGGAGATGAAATCTTGTACGTCCTGGAAAAGGGCTGAGTATTACTACTGAGGAGTGCCTGGAGGGGTTTCCTACCAGGTAGGAGCAGGCATCTGGCCAAGCTCAGAAGCAAAAAGACTGTAGATCCAAACTGATACGGAACGTGTTGGTGGATGGTGGGTTGGTGCTGGGGTGGAGATGTGTGGTTTCCTGTTTTTAAGTAGACTTAAAAAGACTGGTTGAAAAGAAAAAAGAATGGTTCAAAAAATGGTTTGAGACTAATGTTTAGTGTCAAACATTAAACTGTTTTAAACTAAAGAATTTTCTAGTGATATAAGAGAAATGCATAATGAAAGCCTCCCTTTGAGTACAATAGGATTTAACCATCAAGGGGGAAGTACGGTAGAATGCATTGTTCTTTACTCATCAGTCATACAGAGATAGAATTTCTACCACTGACAAAAACTGTATTAAATTCCCATAGTGAGATGGGCAGAGAGATAATTGCTGTTGTTGCCAAAGAATAGCTTTTAACATCTGAGAGAACTAAATGCAAGCACAGCATGAAAGACACCAAATAATTTATTAAGAGATAGGTTCTAGAAAAATCCAAGTGGGCCCAGCTAGGACACCTGGCAGTGGGCCTTCTAAATATCAAGGTCATTGGCCGCCATTAGAAGCGCTTTAAGCATGACCTGAAATACTTTCTTCCTTTTCAGAGGATGTCCCAGTCAGCATGTTTTAGAGACATTGTAATTAAACATTAGACCTAGGGTAACTTGTGCCATGGGTCTGATAAACCCTGAGCTCTTCTTCTATTCAAGGTGGAGGAAGGCAGACCACTTGCACATGGAGGTTTCATATTTACCCCTTCACACAGAGACCAAGAATCACTGAAATCAGGATTAGCATGTTGCGTTCTCACGGCAGGAACGATCAAGCCGGGGAAATCAAGAGGTCTCGGTTCGCCCCGGGGTTCAGTCACAGGCAGGCATCATACATCTTTGCTATTTCTTTGTTTCATTAAATTTAAAAGAAAAATCCCTCCCAAATTCAGATATGACGCAAGCATAGTAACAAGATCATCTTACTCTTTTGTGAGGTGTGCGGAACTCTGAGAGAACAGTTCATTCTCCATCCGTGCTGCACAGAGCCAGCACGTGTGGAATAACCATGTTACAGCTGAACAAAAACTGGTTGGCATCTCCCAGGCACTGGAATTTGGTCGTCCCTTGCTTGGGAAAACATGAGTTGGTCCCTAGGGAAGTGTGCTCTGAGCAACATCAAGTTTCTGTTTTCAGTGGAAGCTCAACACAGCAAAGTCATTCTGATGGAAAGATGAGGGCCTGGGCCAATTCATGGGAGCACAATATATTACAAACTTCAGCTAGCAGGAAGAGAGAAGCCCTGGGGAATAAAAATTAAGCAGATAGAGAAAGAGAACCAACGTATGTGGAGAGCCTTCTATATGTCAGGCCTGGTGTTAGAAACTTTCAAACTTGCATCCTGAGCAGACACAGGGAGGACAGTAAGGCTCGGAAATGTTAAATGACTTGACTAAAGTCACATACTGGTGCGAAAAAGAACCCATAGCTACAATGCCTCAGAACGACATTTTAGGAAATGTCCCATGAATGAAATTTTCTTTAATCCCACATTCTGAGCATCCTTGTTCCTGGGTCACTGTTATCGCCACCAGGGATCCTGGATTAGAGTCCACACTGGCACACCCAGAGATGAGTCTCAGGTTGCTCCTGAAACTTCAACAAGATTTATCCATTCAATAAACAATTACTGTGTTGATCTGTGCTATTTCCACAGCCAGAGGTGGTAAAAAAACCTCATTGAATTTTCTTAAACGGGCTGATATTCTAAGCACGAGCAGTCATAAAAATTGTCTTTACTTCTGTCTAATTTTTCATGCTTAATTTAAAACCTCTGTGAATGTATTCAGTTATTGTGGTGTCGTCTTTTGCCTAATAATGGCTTCCTTCATGCACTTTTCTTTGAGGACTGTTTAAAACAAATATTTGTGAAAGTACCTAGCACAATGACTTCACACGGTAGACACTCAGAAAAGTTCAATGAATCCTCTGAGTTCTCTCTCCTTATGCATATGAACCTGGGTTAGAAGAGTATACCATGAAGGTACAGGCAAGAAATAATGTATCATTTCTCTCACCAAGGGAAATGCTAAAGAATTATGCTCCTAGTAATTTGTACCCTCCTCTGGACTGATTTTAATGTTTATTGTATCTAGAAAACACTGTCCTCCCAGGCCCTGGGTTGATTCTTCTCACTCAGCTTTGCAGTGTCAGATGTTCTTCATGGGGCCAAGGTGTTAGAAAGCAGCCATGAGGAGCCCAGGAAGGACCAATTCCTCCGTGTTTCTAGGGAATACTGAGACACCAGGGGGGACTCTAGAACCAAGACAGCTTCTGATGTCCCGTGGGATAGACTTGGATTCCCTAAATGGGCCAAATCACAAGGCAGACAGCAAAGCAGACCCAAATCCTTGAGTAGCACTGAAATGTCGGCAGTCCTTCAGAGATGGCCCAACTCTCCATGACCAGCCATAGAGCTGCAGCCCCAGATTTGGGAAAAGTAGGACATATCCTGGTCAACAGGGTGTGGAGATGCTGGGGGTGACAGAGAATGCTGATGCTTTCATAGGTACTTCTCTGATGGAAATCCCCTACTTCTGGTATTTCCACATTTCTCTATCTCCCTCCCTCGTCTTTACCTCCTCTATCTAATATTCACGGCGTGTGCATCTAGCTGTGTGATCTGGCAACTTTGGAACATGAGTTAAGTCTCCACAGTATTTTGCTCCACAGCCAGAGAGAATTCTCTCCATTTGCTGTTCCTGTGTCGTCTATCATTTCTCGTCATTCACAGAGTGACCTCTGGCTTCAATTATGAAAGGGAGCAATAAATAGAATCTAAAATTAAATTTTTCATGAGGAAATTTTTTTAAAGAAATATTAGTGACAGTTCCATTTTAAAATTGATTCAGTTAATAAACAATCCTTGCAATTCCCAGAACTCGTTGTCTCTTCCATACTCCTCAAAGAAACAAAATCTATTTTTAAGGAGGAAGGAGTGGACATTGCCAACACTGAAGATCCAAGGGAAAGCACTTGGTGCCTAGGGAGTCAGTTAATTTGCTTCACTGAAGCTGCACAACAAAACAGCATCACAGCAAAGGGAGGAGAGGCAGAGACAGGACAGTTATTGAACATCTACTATTGGCCATTATAGTCCTAGAACTATTCATACATTCTCTCCAACTATTCAACACTATAAAGAAAGATTATTGTTCCCACACTAGTGGTGGAAAATATGGGGTTAATAACTTGCTTAAGTTCTGGAATAAGTCAATTGCAGAGCCACATTTTGAATCTCTAGTCTATCAGACTCAAAGTCCATGTTCCAGTAGACACCAAGGTCACCTTTCTCTGAATTAACCAGGTGATTCGTTTCATCTAAACTCAGGAGGTTCACCTTTTCTTGCCTTCAACCTATTGGAACCTGCACGAAAGAACCAGATATGTGTGCTCTATCCTGAGACTGGTGTAAATTCTTAAGCATATTTCACTTTCAGTGTCTTGGAAATTTCACTGAATTTGCAAGTGAAAACATTGATTTGTGCTATGTCATACTCACGCCACGAGTAACCATCTTAATTTAATCTGGCGTTTTAATTGAGATGGAGAAGATTAAATCTCCACCTCAGCACATCTAATCCTTGGCATTGTTTCACTGAATAGCAAACAGGGGGGTGTGAGGGTTCCACTGTGAAAATTCATCTGTGTAGGCATCTGTGAAACAGAAAATAGAGATAATTGGAGTAGTAAGCACACGAAAAAAAGCGAATGTATTTTGGGGCCTGACAGAGTCCACACTAACCTCGTTAAGTATATAATTGCTAATTCTCCATTTCACTTTTCCTGTGTAAAGAGCCAAAGTCAAAAATAACATACAAGCAAACAAACAAAACAACCCTGCTGTTTGTGGAACAGAGGGCAAACTGCAGAGGAAGGTGAGAAAAGACCAACCAGAATGTTCTATGCTGACATGCTGGGTTCCCCCAACCCAACCCCACTTCCTCTTTTCCTTTCTCATTTCACAGCCTTCTTTACATTAAGGAGCATTAGAGTCATTGAATTAAGAAGGGTCCTCTGAGATCTTCTAACTCCAATGATTTCATTTTGCAGAGGACGAAACTGGAGCACAGAGACATTCAGCAACTTAGGACTTGCGCAAGGTGACACAGGGGCAGAGTTGCACTGACGCTCTCTTCATGTGACACTTCCCTGTTTTGCTAAAGCCGTCCCTGTAGAGTGTTGCAAAGGAGCATTTACCTCTGCCTGTGCCCCCCTGGATAGATTCCCAAAATGACAAACGAGCTCTATAATTTCATTATTACTTCTTAATAAATACGTAATAAATTCATTTGAAGCAACAGAGAGCAATGCCTAGAAGTCAGACAACCTGGGCTCAGACCTTAATTCTGCTCCTTACACAATTTGTCTTCTTGGGCAAGTTACTTACTTGAGCTTTAGTTTCCTGATCTGTAGAAGAGAATGATGAGAATGCCCGCCCTTAATGTTGTAGTGAGGACTAAATGAGATAATCCTCGTGAAAGCATTTAGCACCATATACGACAACAATTATAATTATCATCATCAATGATAAAACCAGTTGTTCTTTAGATGATGAGATTAGAAAATAGTCTAGAATTTCCATAAAATTCCTATTCTCACCGCATCAAGCACCCATAAAACGGGAGGATTAAAAGAGAAAACTGACATGTGTGGCTTAATGTAAATTGGGAAATCACTGTCAAACTATCTAAACCATTTATGGCTGGGGCTTTGGAAGAATCTGAGGTTACTCCGAGAGGAATTGTGAAATTAAAAATGCAGCATCTTTTGGGAATTCACATACATTTGAAATAATTAAAACAGAGATAGTCTCTTATATACACAGGTGAAATAAGGTATCTGAAGGACAACTTAACTGACCCATGACTGCAGGTCAGGAGAAACAGGCAGATAGAGATGGTCTGCTCTAACCCTTCACTTCCCAAGATGAGGAAAGTAAGATCCACGGTGGTGGAAACATTTGCTCAGGGGGTCACTGCCAGTTAGCAGCAAAGCCAGAACCCAAACCTATGCAAGATGAGGCCTAGTTCAGTCAAGAGATCATTATCCAAAATCGAGTAGATTGACCACAGAACTCTTCTTCTAAGGAGCCACTCCCCGTGCACCTCTGCTCCTCCACCAGGCTTTGTGGTCATGCTCCCTCAGATGTAGATGTTGACTGATATCTCCTCCTGCTTCTATATAGCCAACGTTTTGTGTTCATAGACATGGTCCTTAGCTTGAGGTTAACTTGTGTCATCCATCTGGCCAGGCCTCCAAGGGAAGCAAGCTTTCCCTTTAACACTCAACTCTGTTTATGTTTCCAAAAGTTACAGTTTCAAGGTCATGTCCCTAATCTTGGACTCCAGTAAATTCTATAAAGGACTTCAGGGGTTCATAAATCCCTTGACTGCATGCAAAACTTCATGGGCTTATTCTTTTTTTCCTTTTGTAAGGACCATCACTTTTATCAGATTTTTAAAGAGAACTGTAATCCTCAAAAAGATTGAGAACCATCAATCAAACCAGCTCGGCATTTTTAGTGTGGTTAGATTGCCCATCCTCCATCCTCATCTCCACTGTGCTAAAGCACAGTGTCTTATAAACAGTAGGTGCTCACCAAATATTTGTGACCTTAATTTTCTTTAAAAGAGCTTTCCCTGAGAACTGCTTTTTCAGTCCTTTATTTGCTGTATTATGACACTTTCATCTTTTGCTAATCAGCTTTCCACAGTGAGCTGGTTTTGGGTCATCTGGCCTCATATCTCTTTTTCTTACGCTATCTAGTTAGACCAAATTATTTTAATGTGGCCCTGAATTTCCTCCTCTTGATTGCAACAATTTCATATAGTAATCCCACATTATCCCCTACTCTTTAATTTCTTTAAATAAATTTGTGTCTCATTTTTATGGAGCAATTATTGTACCTGTTGCAATGAACCAAGGAAATTTAGAACTGACGTGTCTCAGATTTTCTAATGACAAGATCAAAATCTAGATGATAGATAAATTAACTTGCCAATGATCACACTGTTAGAGGTTAGCAAATCCTGTCCTAGACCAGATCTTTCTCTGTTTCTCTGAATTGCTCTCTCTCTCTCTCTCTCTCTCATCCTCTCTCTCTCTCTCTCATTCTCCTTTCAAAATTGAGATTTGAGTACAGAATTACAATTCTCTGCAGGTTATTGAAATCACCTTGAGCTAGTTAGTGGCTGGGTGTGATGTTACCATCTGATGGTCAGACTTCAAGCAGATGACTTGTTAGAATCAACCGATATATTCCAGAAAGGTCTGTCCACGGGAGTTGAGATGTCTTCATCTGTAGACAGCCTTCCTGATGCTCTGTCCACAGGCTTCTTATGTGACCTTCACCCTGAGTGTCTGGTCAGGCTCCTGGATGTCACCAGAGGAGAGCCTGTCTCATCTGATTAGTCTTATCTGGGTTGCTCTTCATCTGCCTCTTAATGGTTGTCCTTAAACTACCCACAAACTACAGCCTCCACCCACTGCACCTTTCATTGTTTTTCCAGCTAGTTCATTCACTTTCCCTGAGTGCTGTTTGGAATACCGGTTGAGTTTGTCACTATGATTATTGTACTCTTCTCTAGAGGCTGAGTGGTGCTGGTTCTTGAGCTGAGGCAAGAGTTGCCACAGGAACGGGCCTACAAGTTTCCTTCCTGCACAGGAAGTGGACCTGGGCATTGCAATGCCATTTTCAGATTGATCAAGGCTCATAGTGTTTGGCTTGTTATTTTGCTGGAGGACGATTGATGAGCCAAGAGATATCATTTCTTTTTCTTTTCTTTTCTTTTCTTTCTGTTAAAATTGCTTTTGTTTGACTTTACTTCCAAATTATTTTTTTTCCTGTTGCCTATGATAATGACTTGAAACTCAAAACCACTACTGATTCTGGCCAGATAGCTTCCCTCTCAGGGGACTTTATAGAGGCTTGCAGAGTCACTCAGGATGAGCTGTGATAGATACTGTCTTATAGTTGTGCTTCTTAAGAGCAATGAAGCCTTTACTCACAGGCAGGGAAGAGAGTTACCCTCAGGGTAGAACTGAAGGAAATCAGGAAATTATCTCCTTGTCCAAATATCTCCCTTGTTTCCCCAAATAGCTCCATTGCTGCCAGCCGTGGGGCCTGAAATTCTTCCGGTAGAGATTTCTTCCTTTTTATTAGGACACTGTATCGCATCCAGCTATGTGGACTTGGTCAATGCTCTAAACCTCTGGGTTTCAATTTTTTCTCAATGATCAATTGAAGGATTGGAATATATCACCTCTAAGGTTTATTTCTGCTCTGAAAGGCTCTGACTATGCATGTGCTAAGAGAAATAATTTTTAAATCTATTATTCAGGCATTAACACTTAAGTGTGAGTAATTTTATTAGGTCTCCCCTCAATGTTTTAGCACAAAACAAGTAAATGTAGATGATGATGGAAAAAAGACAGACTCCAGGTATGCCCAGGTGAGGTCTAAGAGCATAAGGTCATTGGAAATCTGGGGCAGAGAGGGAGGTAATAAAAGGGAAGTAGGTACAGAAAGGGGAGATCGTTGGAAGGGTACTAAAGACATAGTTACAATTTTGTCTAGAGGAATTTAAAGAGTCTTTGCTATCTTGTGTCATTTCAAAAGAACAGAAGATCATTAGATATAGAACCTAATAAATCAATGAATGTTTATAAAAGGCCTGAACTATTCAAGTGTTATGGGAGATTCAGAAGAAACAAAGAACCTAGTACCTGCCCTCAAGGAATTATTAGCAGTGATGGGTGGAAACAATTCAGACACCTCAGGCAGGTATCATAGGGGCCTACAACTTCTCAAGAGTTACAACTGAGGTATTGTAGGAGTTCAGGGTAAGATTCAATTAATGGGAAGAAGTCAACTTTCTTTGGCAAGTACTCCCCCTGTCTCTTGACACCGCCATAACCAGGACTGTACATGCGGAGAGCTTTGATACGAGCAAGGCTGGCTGGATTTTAAGGACTGTGATAATTTCTATAACTATTTGAACTGGGGCTATTTGCTCATTATTCAGAACTGCTTGTGCTGTGCTGCTTCAATTGTAGTACATAATTCACAAATGAGTTATTTCTTTTTTGTTGGTTTTATTTAGTGAATAGGAGGTACTCATCACAGTGTGGAAAAATTCAGGCATGTCAGAGAAAAGACTGGAATGCATTATATTCTTATTTCATGAAATACAATGAGGTTGAATTAGGAGAAAATCTCCCGCAAAATCACTGACAATTACAGAAGTCCACTAGGGCAAAGGTGGTGCTAACAGCAGCCCTACAAATGTGTTTCATATCCGCTGACTCCTAGCTAATGGACTATCCCACTCTCTCTCTGAAATAGATCAAAATGACTGAAAAGGCCCCAGAACCACACCTGGAGGAGGATGACGATGAGCTGGACGGCAAGCTCAATTACAAGCCACCCCCTCAGAAGTCCCTGAAAGAGCTGCAGGAGATGGACAAAGATGATGAAAGTCTAATTAAGTACAAGAAAACGCTCCTGGGGGATGGCCCTGTGGTAGCAGGTGTGTGTGTATGGGGAGGGGAGCAGGTGGAGGGTCCCAGTGAAGGCATACATGTTAGCTACTTGGGAGCAGGTGCAAAGGAAAGAACCAAGTGCTTCTAGGGTTAAGTGAGTGAGGCACAATCAATATATGCTGCCTAAAGTTATGGACTGTACAATTAAGTCTTTCTTCTTTGGACACAAGGTGCAAATCAGCACTGAGACAGGCAAAAATAACACATAGGCAGAACTTAGAAAGAATTCTAGACTACCACTTAGAATTCTATTCTCTTCATCATCCTTCACATTTTCTTTTTTTCTTCTCTTTCTCCTTCTCACTCCTTACCTAACCATTTATCTCTTCCACATACACAATGGCAGGCTAAGACATGGCCCAAAGATATAGACAGGAAATGCCCAGCTAGCAGGGTGCCTTAAGCATAGCCACTTGGGAAAAGTTTGCTGTTGATAATTAAGAAGGATCTACAAGTGCCTGAAGCACAAACAGCATCGCTGCAATTTATAAGGCCATTAAGATCAAGCATGGTGAATCAGCCTTCCATTTCTATTTTTACTCCAGATACAGATATCACTTTTCTTTTTATGTTCTCTCTCTTCTACTTGAAATACATACTGTATATACGTCTCTTCCCTGCGCTTACATTTCCTTTTAAATCCTGCAGACCCAACAGCACCCAATGTCACCGTTACTCGCCTTACCCTGGTTTGTGAGAGTGCCCCAGGACCAATCACCATGGACCTCACTGGTAAGCAGACACATCTGTTCTGTTCAGAAGGGCCTAACATTATCAATGGGAAAACTTGGTTTTTGTCCCCTTTCCCAGCAAAAGGAAACCCTAGTAAGGTTAATCCCAGAGATACATATGCTGGGACCAGTTCACAAATCATTGCTCTCAGAGTACACAGTATTTACCATGCTTAAAGAAAAGCTCAACCTCTGTCTCTATTTAATTGAAGAGGGTGCAGGTATAAACACTGGATATATTTATTTGTATCATATTTACTTCAGATTTTTATCTCCACATGATAGCAGAAGAATTACTTTTCACGTAAAAAGATTGCTAAACTGGGGCAGCCTGGTGGCGTAGTGGTTAAGTTCACGTGCTCCACTTCCATGGCCCGGGTTCGCAGGTTCAGATCCTGGGCGTGGACCTGCGCACGGCACATCAAGCCACACTGTGGCGGCATCCCATATACAAAATGGAGGAAGATGGGCACAGATGTTACCTCAGGGCTCATCTTCCTCAGCAAAAAGAGGAAGATTGGCAACGGATGTTAGCTCAGGGCCTATCTTCCCCAGAAAAAAAAAAAAAAGATTGCGAAACATCAGAGAAAGTTTTGATCTTATACCAGCTACAGAACTTACCTGGAGGCAAGAAGCAATCTAAGACAGAATTCCGCTGTAAATACTTATTAATAGCTTAAAGCTTTGATTCTTTTAAACAAGCAACTTCCCCCACTAACGATGTACAAATTAAGATTTTGTTGTTATCTTTCACTCTATTGTGACAAGAGTCAAGTCCTTTCCTGAGACAGGTCTTGAGGAGATAAGGAGAGGTGGGGAAGGCGGGTATTATGGGGAAAATGGTCATCTGAGAGAAACGAGGAAAGGGCCACGGAGCTAGGAAGTTGGGGGCATCAAAGGCAGGTCTTAACTAAAAAAAAAGTTTATTACCAGATTCAAAAAGTGTACTCATGAGACAGAGCAAAGCATGATTCTAGAACAGTATGCCTAACAGCAGGGTAGTTCCCCTCCCACAGGACATATCCACTCTTTACCTTATATGGGCTTTTTTTGTCAGAGGGAGGAAATCAGAGGCTGAGAAGACACGCTTCCTGTTCAACTGAAATCATTAGAGCAGACACAAAAATTCAGCTACCCCCACATTCTAGCATCTCTCTAGGAGAGAAACTCTCTCTCTGTTTCTCACCAGGACTCAGACCTCTTCCTGTGCAAAATTGTGTAATGTACCAGGTGCAACTGTCATTTTGCAAGAGAAGGTCTGAATTAGCACTCAGGAAATCTGTTCTGTTCGGAATGGTTTGATGATATTGCAGGAAAAACTTGGTCTCTGTCCCTTTCCCCAGCAGCAGGAATCCCAGATTTGGTTTTCTGTCACAAAGAAGCTGATGAGGTAATTCTCAGATATATGTGTATATATAGTATGCTGATATCAGCTCTCTGCATGAAGCACACGCCAGAGCTGTGCAAAACACACACACACACACTCACTCCTGAATGGCAAAGTATACAAGATCACGTCAGGAGAAGAACAGAGAATGACAACCTCTCTAATCAAGATATAGGAATTAGGGGCAGATCCCAGTTTCCTGGAGCCTGAAGCCTTTATAACTTGTGACTTTCCTTAAAAAAATAATATGAAACTGTAAATGCAAAATTCAGTACAAAAGTGAATATTTACTTAGAATCATAAAAAGGAACCAAAACAAGTAAATTTTTAAAAGCTAGAAAATTCCACAAACATTACCAAATCCACAAAAGAAATAGCTGGTACTCATGTAATATTTTTCTTATATTTCTTTGTTTGAGCAGTAAGTACATATTCTTTAATCATCTTTTCATTTGAACTTATTTTTCTAGAATCATTTTGAATAGAGAGAATAGAAAGATAGTTTAGACTTTCCTCTGGGATAATTGATTAAAACTTGCTTTTATTATTGACAATTAGAAAAGACATTTTCATACATAACTCATTACTGGTAATGTCATGCATATTCTTGGAGTTGTCATCAAACTTGGGGGAAAAAGCTCTGTTACATTTCTTTCATATCTAGCTGTAAGATTTCAGGCATTTCAAGTGTGTGTGCAGTGGCTCATCTCGAATATTCTGAATTAAGGGCCGTATGGACCATGTTGCTCTGATGGGCCCAGCAAATGGCTCTGGAGCTTAAACTTCATTCATCTCTTTGTGTATCTCCTTCTGAAGAGAATAAACTCTTTCTAAATCCACTTCCACAGGGGATCTTGAAGCCCTCAAAAAAGAAACTTTTGTGCTAAAGGAAGGTGTTGAATATAGAGTCAAAATTCACTTCAAAGTAAGTATCTTGCCCTGTATGTTTTTATAAAATTTAAATCCTTCCTATCATTAGGGGGGAAAATTGAATTTCTTACGTTATCATGTTGGCATTCCTTTCGTTTGTTTCTTTTTTTCCCTGGATCTGGATGGTCCTCTCCCCACCTCTGAGCTCTACCTGTTGAGACCTACCCTTTCTTCATGCCTTTTCCCAGCCAGGACTCTCTCCTTGAACTCTCCTTTGATCACTTAAGCCAATGGGATCCCTCTGTCTATGAACTCCAAATACTCCCATCCACAAGGCATACACTACTCTGTATTGTTCCATTTGTGTCATTTCTCCCCTACTCAGCCTAAGCACCTTGAGATGGGGAGAAATTGTATATCCCTTCTTTCCAATATGTCACACAAAATGTTGTAAATTGTATTTAGTGAATATTTATTGATAAATAGATTTAAAAAAAAAGAAAGAAATAGATAAATGAATGAATCCATTAATAGGTAAATAAAATAGGACAGATAGAGCCTCAGCTGTATTTGCTCAATGATTACATCAATCCAGAGAGTGTGGTCATTGGTAAATAACTGAGAATTACAAATTAGTTGTGGAGCAGGTGAAATGGTAAGAGCAAAACTAAATAGATAAACTGACATATAATGAATAGGCACATACTCCAGCGAGCAGCCAAATTCAAGGAGAAAAATAACTTTGACTTTGAAAACAAATAAGTCAGAAATTCACTGTTTGCTCTTAATTGCTCATATTTGCCTTGGTTGCCCCTCGTTCCCATTCAGTCATATCCTCCAGGGCCTGAGCTCCACCAAAGAAGACTCCATCTGCCCTCTCTATTTGCTCACCAGGCCATTCTTTCCTCTGGGTGCAGGGGGTGATTCAGGGTTCATGGACAATCATTCTCCACCACATACAAATACGCCTCAAAATAATTTCATTCTGAAAATATTTGTTGATGTCTACTCTATAATAGGCACTGAGCTATGGTTCACTTACTCGTTTCCTGTTGAACTGTTTGTTACTAAAGTACCTAAGATTTTGGTGAGGCATTATATCCAAGTATGCCTAGAAGCGGGTACACACCAGCCCAATTTTTAATCCTTAATGCTACTGCCTTAATTTGTCAATTTAGCAAGCGAGTTTTATGAAATGAAACAAGACAGGTAAATTTTGATGTGAATAAGATGAGGTCTGGAGCATGGGCTTCTGCTGTGTGTGGGAAGGCTGGGGAGGAATGCGATGGTGTGGGTCCTCAGTAGTCATGGTTACACATTAGGGTGACGGAGGGCACAGAAAGGGGTTTTCAAGTCCCATCCACTTAAGAGATTTGGCCTTGTCTCTAACAGGAGAAAGATCTCTCTTTTCACTCTCTACGTGTAACCCACGTAAAGTTGAACCACCCTGTGGCCTGTCCCAGGATAAAGCTATAGTTAGAAGAAGCACCAGTTCAAAATTTAAATTTAAAAAATGTCCAAGAAAGTTCACATCTATAATACCAGCAACACATCCTAAAATCCTCTCTCCTTATCTTGGTTGCTCTAAGTGTTCTCTTTCTCTCCCCACACTTCATAACACTCTCCAAAAACTTGGCCTGAGATGGTTCTTCTAGTTTCTCCCCCTTTTCCTTCTGCCTCTCAAGGGAATGTAGTAATCTGATTTCCATAGATCTCCCTTTTATTCACGTCACCAAGCTTCTTCCTTCTGGGGTAGGAGAGACGATGGGGAGGGGCATGCAAGCAGGGGAAGAGAATATTAGGAATATTCATACTTTTCTTTTACCCATCTCAAACATATTTATATTAAATGGACCTTCTGTGGAACAGTAGAAAAACAGGAGATTCTTTGTTTTGAAGTCCTTATTACTACTCCACCAGCTTCCCTGTTTTTAGGTCATTATTTTCCCACCAGACCACATGTCCTAATAGGCCCAAGGGACCAGCTTAGAGACTTCTAGAAAGATGCATTCATTTCCTTATTCCTATGAGCCACATGTGGGAGTCAGAGTAACTAGAAAGTTTGGCTTTCATTTTTCACAATTTCTTTGATGAAGCTGTTTTCATTCTGTCCACTTTTGATAGGTTTATACCACAGCTTTTACTGAGTGACAGCCTAGAACTTAAGCTGGCAGTATTCAGTGCTGTGCTACCTCATTGCTAACAAAACAAAATGTAGCACTGAGAGACTGGTTTATTTATTCCGTCCAAAACAAAAAGGGAGCCATAATTATTGCTGGGGAGAAATTATCTGAAGATGCTTTAATTCTTCAAACCGGTGAACGATTAACCACGCCTTCCAGCTAATGACACAATGTCCACTTTAATTTGTTTATATAAACATGAACGCTGTATAAAATTAACAGACAACCCAGTTCAGTCCTAGGTAAAATGAATCATAGAACAACAAAGTGCTTGGGCTGTCTATATTTTCATTCTGTTTTAGTGAATTTTCTTTGAAAGGCTTGGGAAAGTAGCAAGATCTCAGATAACATCTGAAAGTGACAGACATCCAAAATATCTCTCAGACACGAGTAGATTTCACCCATTATTTATATATGGGGAGGATGTTTTCGTGGAGCCCATCTCCTCATCCTAGACTCCAGTCACAGCTACATTACAGGCACGACCATCTTCTAGACCTGATTTTCCATTACGGCTTTTCTCCTTGCTGCTTGTTTTTCATACGGTAGGTGGATCATTTCTGAGGTTAGAATTTTCAGATATTTACATAATATTTTCCATTCGTACCTTTGTAACCTTTCCTAAGACAAGGACAGACTTCTGGCCAGTAGTATCAGGGAGGGATTGCTCAAGACCGTTCTTTGGACCACTGAGAAAGGAGAAATGTAATGAAAAATATTGAGACAGTGTTTACTTAAACACCTCCCTTCTCTAAACCAAAAATCACAGTATTCGATGATTAAAACCAGATTGGCAACGTTGAGTCTTGTGATCTCCTCTTTCCAATCTCCGCCTCACCACCACACTAAAGGATAATACTAATACTTATTTTGAACTAAATCTTCAGTGCTTTCATCTTCAGAGAAGACTCAGCTAGGTAGGATCAGCATGAAAGATGAGGAAAAATGAAAGACCCTCTTTAATCTGAATTGTTTGGATTCTTCCTACCTACAGGTGAACAGGGATATTGTGTCAGGCCTGAAATATGTGCAGCACACCTACCGGACTGGGGTGAAAGGTAAGGGACCCACACCTTACACTGTCCCAAACTCTGCTTCTCACTGATCCTTAACCTTCTGGTTATTTCGAATTGTTAGTCATAGACTCATATAAGAAGCTGCTAAAAGCTGTGGACGCTAACCCTGGGAAAGGGCACACATATACCTCTGACCTAGATAATAACAGCAAGGCCTACATTCGCGAGACCTAGTTTAGACTGAGTCAGCCACTAACCTTCAGCATTCAGCTTCTGGAATTCAACTTTTTTACTCATAAAGGGGAAGAGTAACCGAAATAAGTTTGAATAAAAAAAGTACCTAAAAGTACTGTCAAACGTGGAAAAAAAAAAAAAAAGGTGGTTCACAGGTATAAAACCTGAGTGTCAGAGAAATCCAGGACAGGAAAGACCTATCCAATGGCAAGTGTGTTTCTTGGGAATGGGAGTTGGTAGTACCACGTGGGGGCAGATGGAGGTGGGGCAGCACTCAATTTCTTAAACAAAGAAACAAGAAAAATACTCTTTCTAGAACTGAGAAAAGCTGTTGAATTGAAACAAATAATATAACATTACTTAATATAACGTTACTGCAGTTCTTGATAAGTTGTACCCAAACACTACATGCCTTGGGAAACTGTCTTCAGTTTCCTTCCGTTAATATGAGCAGGGAGAAGTGAAAGGCAGAAGGCTGATGAGAGCACTTTCATAATCCCTTTTTACCTCAGGGGCTGTCTTACCCCAAAGGTGTGAAACAGTAATACATGTCAGTTCCACCAAATCGATAAACAAGGGATGGGGAGAAATTGTCCAATAAGTTTGCATGACATAGAGAACCACTCAATTGCGCAAATCCCGCAGATGATTGTTGACCTGAAGGAACTTAATTGGTCTTTCCAATATCTAGTGTCATGAAAAAATAGTTCCGTTTCCTATTTTCCTTTGGGCCTAGAGACTATGTTGCCTCACTTAGGCAAAAGGATGATGACATGTGTGTAGCTGTTCCTAAAGTTATTCACAGTTAACAACAAACTACATCTTGCCTGCCTGTCTACCTATCTACATTATTTGTACTTTCTAGTCCCCTACTATTCTTAATATACCCCAGTTATTCACCTATTAATAACTTTGCTTGGCTATTTTCACCCTTTGTCCCAGTTCTTTACTTTTTTTTTTTTTTATAATTTTATTTATTTATTTTTCCCCCAAAGCCCCAGCAGATAGCTGCATGTCACAGCTGCACATCCTACCAGTTGCTGCATGTGGGACACGGCCTCAGCATGGCCAGACAAGCGGGCGCGTCGGTGCGCGCCCAGGATCCGAACCCGGGCCGCCAGCAGCGGAGCGCACGCACCCAACCGCTAAGCCCCGGGGCCGGCCCTACTTTTTTTTTTTTTACCAAATTATTAATTTTCTTCTCCCATCCAATTATTCCACACATGAATTCTGTTCATTCTGATTGCCAGCTGTTACCTTATCTCCCCCGATTGATATGTTCATAGAATGATAGTTTGTAGATAGAAGACCCTTGAAGTTCATTATATAGAGAAAGAAACAGAGGCCCCCCAAAATGTCATGTGACTTAGTCGCAGAGCTGAGACCAGAACTCAGGTCTCAACTACTTTGGGATTTCTTTATGGTACAGTCTGCTGCATCTCCATAAAAAGAGTCTTGATACTCGTTGATTTAGGGCACTGATTCTCTGACTTTCCTGATGCTCAGAATCAGTTGTGATGCTTTTTAAAAACGCTGATTCTTGAGACCCACAGCAGATTACTGAACCATAGTCTCTGAGACTGGGTCAAAGGAAACTGTATTTTTAAAAGGTACTCCAATAATAAATTTTTTAAAGAAAAAAGATGCCTCAGGTAAATCTGAGGTTTAGTCAGAGACACTATTTCTCTTGTCTTCATTCACATAAGCTGTGCTCCAAATTCTCCAGTTTGTAGTGTTTGTTTTTCCTGTATCAGATTCTTACCCAAATGAACTTTTCTTTCTCCCTAGTGGATAAGGCAACATTTATGGTTGGCAGCTACGGGCCTCGGCCAGAGGAGTATGAGTTCCTGACCCCAACTGAGGAGGCTCCCAAGGGCATGCTGGCCCGAGGCACTTACCACAACAAGTCCTTCTTCACCGACGATGACAAGCACGACCACCTTACCTGGGAGTGGAACCTATCCATTAAGAAGGAGTGGACAGAATGAGTCTACCTGCCCATCCCTTTCCCTACCCCTGCCACCTGGAAGAACCCTCCCAGTGGGTTCACCACCCCGTCCTTCCTCCCTGCTCATAGCTGGGTCCCTTCTCCAATGCTCCTCTCAGTCTCTTATTGATGCGTCTTATCCCACACTGTCTCTCAAAGGAGGCCCCAGCACAAGATGCTTGAAACCCAGGCTTTCACCCTGCCCACTCCTTCTATCCCCCAGCATGGCCACATCTTTGAAGTTCACCATCTCAATCCACAGTCATTGAATAGTTTCTTCTCTTATTCCCATTTGAGCAGCTAGAGGCCAGGAAATGGGCAAATTATCACTAACAGTCCTTTTGCCTTGGGTTCCAGTAGTTCACTCACATCCCTGGATTCTTCTGTGGTTGCTGCTGGCTCAATGAAGGTCCCTAATCATATTCCCTGCCAGTTGGGGTTCTTCTTTTCTGGGAGACACTGTAAACAGCACAAGAGAGTGAATAAAACAGTTGTACGATCTGACTAAGACCCTCGTTTCCCTGCTTTCTTCCTTCTGATAAATATGGTAACTGGATGGTTCACATTCATGAGTTTCCTCAGAGGGGGTGGGGCCGGGCACAGTAGAGGAGGTAACTACATCGCTGGGAACAGTTTGGTCCCCTGTTCCAGTGTGATGGACAATGAACATTCAGAATATGAATGGTAGAAAAATCTTAACGTCTTTTATTTTATAGTGTTATCATATGGAAGTTTCTCCTAAGCTTGAGATCTGTATATCCCACTGCCTGTGGGGATCTCTTGGATTTCTGCAAGCATCTGTGGGCCAAAGTAGACTTTGTTTCTCTCCTGCTTAAGATCTTTCAATGGATTCCCATCACCTACAAAATAAAATTGAAGCCCCTACGTTTAGTGTATAAGGCCCCCAGCGATCTGGCCCCAGCTTGCTTTTCTGCCCATATTTATCATTCTCTTCCTTTTGTAATAATACTCAATTACTAATAATTCTCTCACACATCATATTTGCATCTCTGAACTTTGGCTCTTTACATGAAACTCTCTTTCCGCCTTTGTTGCCTGGTGAAATTTTATTTACCCAGGACTCTCCTTAGGCATTCCCTGCAGGAAGCAAGCCTTCGCTGAACCCCACCATTGTCCTAAATGCCCTTAGTCTGTACTCTCATGGCACCCTATGAGTTTATCAATTTTTTATCACTTTCCATTTTATATTTAAATGATCTATTTGTCCATCTCTCATATTAACAATCTAAGCTGAGAAAAGCTGGATCAGATCATAGTTATCTTTGTATCCCTAGTGCTTAGGTCAATACCTGGCATAGAATATTTTTTTTATTTAAATAAACTGACCTGACTTTCTTCTGGTTGGTTTTGTTCTGAGGCCCTATCCCTGATCTTGGTCTTTTATCTCAGAAGTTGAAGGTCTCCCTAGAGCCAGCTGCAAAGTTCCCAGAGCACTAACAACACCACAGCCAATTAACTACAGAGCAGGCTGCCCTGAATCAGCATCCCAAAACACAAAGACCAGGGCTCCGAGCAGGAGCAGCAGCAGAACAATGGAAGCCACCCAGTCCGGATGCCTGTTTCTATTATTGCTTGTCACCTGCAAGCTGTCCCCAGAAGTTGCTACAGAAGTTCAGGAATCCACAGGTAAAAGAAAAAAGCACTTGGGTAACCATAGGGTGAAAGTGTGAAGGGAAGGGAACATGGGAGTCCTCTGGGTACTTTCCTTCAAACCTGGAAAATTTTCCAGGAAATGCTGGATAAAGACCTGTGTTGCCTAGTGGAGAAGAGGGAAATCTGTCATTATCCTTCAGAGAGAGGCCACAAGGGGAGGTCATCCTCCGTAAGTTAGCGAAAAAATAAAGCCTTGGGGTGATAACTGCACCCCTGGATCTCCTTGGTTTTGGTATAAAGAGAAAAAGTAGAGATGCTCTCATTATTTAGAGCTGCCTCCTCTCTACTCAGTACCCCAACGCCTTCTGCCTCTCTCTCACTCCCATTCTCTGTCTAGATGGTCCCAGTGACTCCCAGGAACCTGTGTGGCTCACAGACGTCCCAGCTGCCATGGAATTCATCACTGCTGCTGAGGTGGCTGTCATAGGCTTCTTCCAGGTTTGTCCAGACACTCCACTTTCTATTTCCCCAAAGAACCAGAAATGTTCTACCTCAAGGGAGCCATCAGTCACCTGTTGGCCAGGTGGTACTGCATTAGAAGCCAAAGGGCACAGAGTCTGCTTTCAGCTGGTCAGTTGAGATCCCTCAGTTTCTAGACATTCCCAGTCTCTGAATTATGTCTTTCTCATACTTGCTTCAAGAGTTCTGAGGCTGCTAACTGGGTCTCCTCATCTACGGTTGCTTTGAAGCTTAAGTCAATATCTGAATTGCTGAGGCAGGGGCCAAATAAGCCCAACTTCTGTCTTCCAGGCACACATTAGTCAATAGTTATCTCTGTCTAAAGCCTTGCCAAATAGGTAGTCCCTCCTCTTCTTTCTCTTTGTTTGTTCTGATATGTTGAAAAAGGATGACATTTTGCATATTGAAGGTGTTAGTCTCTGTCTTCCAGAATGGCTGCCTGGCTAATGAAAGGAGCCATAAATGAGAGGGCATCCTTCCAGCATTTTTATCTTTCTCTGGAGGTAACATCTGGGGATTCTCACAGCTGACCAAGCCCCGACTCTCTCCTTGCAGACCTTCTTGTCTGTTTCCATTCATTAATTCCAACTTACCATCACCCTGCCAATTCTGTGTACACAGCTGGAAATGGCTGCAATGAGATGGAATTGGGACAGGAAGACAGAGGAGCACATTTTTCAGTGATGAGAGATCTGAGCTGTAGACAAAAACAGCCACCCTTGGAAAGGCAAGGAGTGGCAAGAAAGTGGAACTAGAGGAGTGTGCAATACCTTAAACAGCCACCAGATGCCGTCACTTGATCCATGAGCAATTCCATTCTAGGGAGCAGAATAAAAAAGGAGGAAGCCTAGATTGACAGATGTTCATAGCCTCAAATGAACTCCACACACCCTTTCACACACACTCCCTCTGCTTGACCCCAGACGCAAGGCTAGCCAGCTTCTTTTCTTTTTATACATCTCCTCCTTTAGCCCAGAGAGACGTCAGGGAAGAATATGTACACTCCCACTTATTGCCTGGAGCTGCTGTGGGCAAAGGTCCTGTGACAGCAGGGAAAATGATGCCAGCTTGCTATAGAAGGACTGGAATCATCACTCAGAAGTGGCTTCCCTGCTCCCACCTCCCACCTGTGTTCTAGAGTCAGAGCAATGCGTGAACAGTATCTTCATGGGCAATGCCTCAGGCTTATTTATAGTGGAAGGAGGAGGACTATTCTTCCACATCCTGCACAAACCTTTGTTAATAAAACTTCTAAGCTTCCATTTTAAATTTTTTATTCTTTTTTTCTTTTTTTTGGTGCTTTTGATAGCACCTATTTTTTATTTTTGCATTATGTCTTTCCTCCACAAGTTGTTCCCAAAATATTTGCCTCCTCAGGTATATCAACAACAGTGCAGCCCAACTCTGCAGGCCTCTATGATTTTGAGGCCCCTCTCAGCTACTAATAAACTTGAAGTTCTATGGTAAGACCAGACAGGAGTCCCAGGCTTAGCCACAACTTTGTAGTTACCTATTAACCCAGCCAGCCTGGAAAATTCAACAATGCCACTGCAAATTTAGCCTGCCTTCTCAGAGGTAAATGTTGTTTCACTGGACAGTAAATCAAGTCTATGATTTCTGATCTGAGTGAGCACATTTCTATTCCCTATTCTGTTTCTATGTCTCTCTTCTCCAAAATAACCCCTGTGGGTTTTTTTTTCCTCTTGATTTTAGGATTTAGAAATACCAGCAGTGTCCATATTCCGTAGTGTGGTGCAAAACTTCCAAGACGTGTCATTTGGAATGAGCACTGATTCTGAGGTCCTGGCCCACTACAACGTCACTGGGAACGCCATCTCCCTCTTCCGTCTGGTGAGTTGGGAGGGCAGCTTGAGCCTTCTCCCAGTTTCTCCTTAGGTTGTGGATTCACAATCTTGTGAGACTAGAAAGGGGTCTATGTCTTTAACACAAATGATGATGCCAGAGTCAGGGACAATGACGACAAGGATGATGGCTCAACTCAAGCTTTCCAAACAGACGCTGTCAGGAAATGGACAGAGGACCGGACTGGGAGTCAGGAGACGAGATTTGTAGCCCTGCCTTGTCACTGACCAGCCATGTGGTTTGGGCAGGTCACTTAACATTTTTTAGCTTCAATTTTTTCACCTATAAAAAAAAAGGTTTTGACCATATCATCTTGAAGGTCATTCTGAGCTCTAAAATTTTATATTTTTATATCTTTGAGAGTTCACTTACATTTGTCAAACACAGATTAAACAACTACTGTCTGCCAATGCAAGATATTGATAATCAAAACATGTTAAGTGTATTCTCCCCTCTCATAGATCTTAAAATGTAGCAGAGATTGTAAACATAATCTACAAAAGCATCATTATGGATAATGTATTATGAGAGTTCAAAGGATAAAGACAGTATAGGAATTCTGACCAAAAATTGATGAAGGAGACAACTGAACTGGGATTTAAAGGATAGATAAAATTTGGGCAAAGTGGAGGAGAATTCATGGCTACCGTGGGAAAAAAAATAATAAACTTAAGATACAGTGATCAGGCCAACCTGACTGGATCTCAGGGTACATGTTTTGGGGAAATGAATATAAATCAGAAAAGCTTGATTGGAACCACATTGTGGAGAAATTTGAATATGAGCTTAATGGGTTTGCAGTTAATTTAGCTGGCACAGGAAAGCCCCTAGAGCCTTTAGATCTGGGGAGTAATATGAACAGGAATGTGTTTTAGCAAGATTATTTTGGCAGTGATGGGTAAGACGGATTGTTAGGCAAAAAGATAAGAGTAGAGAGAACTTTTGTTAGGCTCAGAAAACAGATCATGTACTAAGGGTCTGTAGTAGAAAGGTAGCAACAGAAAGTGAAGGATAAGCAGGTCCTGCAAGGATTAGATATCAAATTTATGGAAAGGAGGCAAAGTTTAAAGACAGGGTACCTGGGAATAGTGAGGGCATATACAGAAATAGGGATTTCTAATGCTTTAGTTTGTTGTTGAGTTTGTATTGTTGGTAGAATATCAAGGCAAAGATGACCAGAGTCCACTGGATATGAGAAATTGAGCAAAGGATAAAGTTTTCGAGATTTCTGGACTGAATAGCTTTCATCCTATCTGTGTCTTTTACTTCTCATCCAAACCTCTTTTAAATGTGTTTTATATTCAATGTATCCAACTCTCTTTAAGCTCTTAAATGCACTGCTATCTCGTTTATGCCCCATCCCTCCATTAAAACTGCTTTCATCCAGGTCGGCATGGTTTTCATATTTCCAAATCCAATGAACACGTTTAGGTCTTATTTTATGGAACATCTCTGCCATATTTGACATTGTTGACCACTCTTTTCTCTTTAATATTCTCTCTTTCCTTGACTTCTAGGAACCTCCTTCTCCTGGCTCTCCTCTTCTGTTCTTAGTCTCCTTGAGACTTTCTCTTCCTCCACCTACACTGCTGCCCGACACAATGCTCTTGCCAATGTATATTACAGAATCTATACTCCATGGAGGCAGAGACTGTTTTGTTCACTACTTCAACCACAGAGCCTGAAAAAAGTGCCTGCTACGTAGCAGATGCTCATTAAATGAATATGTGAATGAATTAATGAAGTAATGAATGTATAATCCTTAGGTAATATAATTCTTTCTCATGCTTGACTATCATGTGTTTTCTGAGGATTTGGAATGTTTTATCTCTAGCCTGGACCGCTCTCATGATTCAAATGCTTTCTGGATATAACTATTTGGATACTCTCATAAACACTACAATCTTAACATATTCAAAACTGAATATATCGTCTGCACCTGCTGAATCATGTTCTTTCCTCTAAAACACTATTTTGTCGAATGGCTACGTTCAGTCAGTCTCTTAAGTTTTGCCAGTTGTACCTCCTATCTTATTGAACCTATATTCTCCTCCATTCTTTCTATTTCATTTCTCATTTAGACTTTCAGCATCTTTGGTATAAACAATTTCAATAGCTTCTTAATTGATCTCCTTTTACTACTTCATATCGATTTCTAGATTGGTATCAAAATGATAGATTTAAAATGGAAATTTGACCATGGCACTCCCTTCTTAAAAACTCTTCAGTATTCCCCATTTCTTACAAGATCAAAATGATGATATTTAAACATACAGTGTTTTATGACCTGGCAACTACCTGCTTCTCTATTCCCTTTTCCAGCACATTTCCCACTCTGGGCTTTACCCTCTACTACCCAGCTATACATAGTACGATGATACAATTCCACGATTTCACATAGGCTATTCCTCTGCCTAGAATGCCATCACCCCTTAGTGCCCCCTTTCACTTAGCCTCACCCAGCTAACTCCTCATATTCCAGTGAATCAGTTCAGGCGTCATATCCCTCAGAAAGCCTCCCTGGAATCTCCAAATTGGCCCAATTATTCCTCTAGACTTCTTTGTCTCTATTTTCGTTTACCACTTTATAGTGCGTGTCACGTATTTCTGTGTCTGTCTCACCTTTTACCCGGTTAGACCATGAGCTATTCAAGGGCAGGAACCATGACTTATTCATCTTTGTATTCAAAAGGTCTGCAATACACCTCCAGTACCTAGAAGACACTCAGAAAGTGTTTGAGGAATTGACTCACCTCCAAGAGTATGTCTGAGGGTGCATGAGTCCCTTCAGCAATCTTTCCCCTACCTGGACAGCAGTTGCAGGTTTGCATTTTCACCATTGTGAGATAGGAATAAATCAAGCTTTTCTGTGAAAAGCTTTGGTAAGAAAGACATGGAAGGTTAGGCTAAGGCCTTTCGTGTTGCCGTTGAACCATTGGTAGTAACCCTTCAATACACAACTTCTAATCAGCTACAGCTCCACAAGTACTTCTGTCCCAGTTTGTTGTTTATAGATCTTACAAAGGCATGATTTAAAAGTCTTAGTACAACCAAGATACACATGTGGGGAAGAAAAACAAGTACTGTTGCTTCCAATGTCTCTACAAGGCTTTACAACCTCTAATGGGCTCATTAGATGTGCTTACAATTTATTCTTTATAAAGCCCTGTTGATGACTTCCCAGAGCTATTCACTCTTCTTTAGCATCTGTTTTTGGTTTACCACTAAAAGACAGACCCACTCTGAATGAACTCTTGGGATCTCTTTGGAGAAAATTATTTACGTGCCTTACTGAAAACAAACACACTGGTTCCTGCCCTACTCCATTGCCCAGTGTGGGATAGGCTCACCCTATGCCGTGCCAGCTTTTAGATAAACATTTTTTTCTCAGTTTACATTTCCAAAAGTTGAGTCCATATTTTAATAAGATTATTATTCAGGAGTTTGGGATAACTTTTTTTTTTAAAGAGAACATCAACCAAGATGATTCTTTTTTACATTGGGAAACTTGAGCCTTTTGCAAATTTTCTGGTATCTACTTTCATCTTAGATCTATAGTTTCTTCTCTTTGTTTGTTTTAGTGTCTAATTTAGGATAGGCACTATGCTAGGTGTTTTCCAATGTTCTACCATTTAATTCTCACAAGAATCTGATGAAATTATTATTATTATCCCTGCAGCATCAATAAGAAAGCTAACGTTCCATGAGATTGATTCAGTTGTCCAAAGTCTCACAACTATAAAGTAACAGAGATCTGATTCATCCCCAGCATTGCTGATTCAAAGCATAGTTTCCTACCATACTATAGTGACTTCCTAAAATGCTTAACCCTGAAGAAAACCTTTGTTTTGCTCCTAGATTCTATCTACTCTAATGCCCTTCAATCCAAAGCCTTTTTTTTTTTAAAATCACTATCTCCTAAACCATTTCTCTATCCCCCTGGCACTATTTAATCAAATTCCAGGATTATTTCCCAAGACTTAACGTAAACATTATATAACTTGGCAAAGAAATTTCAGAATTTAGATGTATAGAATTTTCAATTTTAAGAACATATTTAGAGATAAGCTTAAATAAATGATAAGTGAAAAAATAATAAGACTATAATGAATTGACATTACTGGACGCTTGAAATGTTGGAGCAGTAAGAAGCCAGCAAATGGTGTACTCACGGAACACATCACTCTCCAATAGTAGTGCAGGCCAACTACAGAAATGTTATCAGGAAGAATTTAAGTAAAATGGAACAATAATAAGTTGTATATGACAACCTGTCTGTTTGAGGACACAGCTTATCTTTTGTGAGAGTGATGGCAGGAAGACCCTCCACACTCTCCAATGGGACATTATTGTTGCCCTAACAGAGATGTAGTCCCGGGTTGAATAAACTATGAGCCTGTCCTAAAATGGAATTTCAGATATGATTTGAATGTTTATCCTGCTTTGGGTATTCTCAATCACTTCTATTTTAAGAGACATAAGTATCCTAACTTTGACCCAGTAGGATAGTAATGGAAACACAGTGGAGGCATTCTTTCATTCCTTTTACAGTTCTTTGTTGGGTACCTATTATAAGAAATGCACCTTGCCAAACAAAGACAATCAGATGGAACCAGTGCATAAAAATAAACTGATAAGAAATGCAAGAAGTTTATTGTTGTTATTATCTACTACTTAATGTTATAAACCAATGTTACTGCAATAAACAAAAAATTTAAAAAAAAAAAGAAATGCAAGAAGTAAGATATGTCAAATTATCAAATAGTTTTTTATATGGTAAGCCAAGCAGCTTATAAAAACAAACCCAGGGACATGAGGGCATTTGCTTAACAAATGATTTCTCAGTGCTATCCAAGATATTTAATACTATAACCATAGCACCCAGTAAGACAATTTTAACATATGTTATGAACAGCAGGGTGGTTAATTAAAGAAATCCATAGAAGTTCCACGGAATATTGCTGAAATGCTAATGAACAGAAAAGGAG